TATATATATATATATATATATATATATATATATATATATATATATATATATCCATTAGACAACCCGAATCTCGCACACGATGTGTTTGGTGGCCAACGAATGCCTCTCCGGGCCTCTACTCCGACAATGAAGCTTCGCGGCCATGACCGCAGAGATCCTCCACCTCGGCCAATCGCTCCGCGGATGCCGCACCCAGCGGTCGCTCCCTCGAGGGAGACAGCTCCACCAGGTGCTCCTCAAGTGCGGTTATGCCGCTTCCCTCTACGCCTCCAACTGCCTTCTCCAGATGTACGCTCGTTGCAGCGCCGACCTGGACGACGCCCGAAGGGTTTTCGACGAAATTCCCCACAGGAACTGCTTCTCTTGGAACTCCCTCATCGACGCCTATCTGAAGTCCGATGAACCGTGCCGTGCGCGTCAGTTGTTCGATTCCATGCCCCGGAAGAATACCTTTTCATGGAACGCCATGATCACTGGCCTCGTACGGTCTGGTGACCTGAAGAACGCCCGGCAATTGTTCGAGGAGATGCCCGTGGTTGACGCTGTTGCCTGCAATGCCATACTTCACGGGTATATCCGTCGTGGGCAGGTTCAGGAAGCTTTCCGTTTGCTTAAAAAGGTTGGTTCAGAGTACGATGGATCGTCGTCGCCATATAGTGATAAATTTGTATTGACGACCCTTTTAAGTGCTTGTGCAGAGTGTTTGGCTTATGATTGTGGCAAGCAGATTCATGCCCGCATTGTCATCTGCCAGGTTGACTTGGATTCCATTCTGGGTAGCGCCCTTGTTGACATGTATGCAAAGTGTCAGGCTTTTGATAGTGCTCATCAAGTTTTGGAGTTGATGTCGGAGCCAGATGAGTTTTCTTTGTCGGCCTTGATATCAGGCTATGGGGGTTGTGGAAGATTGGATGACGCAATAATGATATTCAATCAGAAGGAGAAGCCAAGCGTTGTTTTGTGGAACTCCATTATTAATGCATATGCATCTAGTAATCAGGGAGACGGAACATTAGAACTCTTCAAAATGATGACTGGAGAGGGAATCATGCCAAATTCGTCGACTTTTTCAAGTGTTCTTAGTGCATGTGCTAGTATTGGCATTCGGGAGCATGGAGTACAGATGCATGCTTGTGGTTGTAAGCATGGAATTCTGGAGGACTTGGTTGTTGCAAGTGCTCTCATAGACTGCTATTCCAAGTGTGGAATTTGGGAGGATGCTTGTAAAGTGTTCAGAGAGCTTAGACTGTATGATACAATACTGCTTAATACTATGATCAATGTTTACTCGAACTGCGGTCAAATCGAGGAAGCAAGGAAGATATTTGAGATGATTCCAAGCAAGAATATGATCTCATGGAATTCAATGATCGTGGGTTACAGCCAGAATGGTCATGCAGTGCAGGCACTAGAGCTATTCATTGACATGCATCATCTTGATCTTAGTATTGATAAGGTGGCTTTGGCCAGTGCTATAAGTTCTTGTGCTAGCATTTGTGCCCTTACCACCGGGGAAGAGTTATTTGCCCTTGCTACACGTATTGGCCTAGTCACTGACCTTGTTGTCACTTCTTCGCTTGTTGATCTCTACTGCAAATGTGGCAAAGTCATTGATGGAAGGAGGTTGTTCGATGGGATGCCCAATTTTGATGTGGCTTTATGGAATTCAATGTTGATGGGTTATGCTTCTAATGGATATGCAATTGAAGTGCTCGAGTTGTTTGAATCCATGGGCAGTGCTGGGGTGAGCCCAAATGAAGTAACTTTTATTGCAGTCCTTTCAGCTTGCTGCCACTCTGGGCTGGTTGAGAAAGGATTAATGTGGTTTCGCAGGATGAAAGTAGACTATTGCATTGAACCAACAGCTGAGCACTACTCATGTGTTGTTGATTTGCTGGTGCGTGCAGGTCGGCTTGAGGAATCCATCAATTTCATTGATACAATGCCCTTCAAGCCTGATGCTAGCATGTGGACATCAGTGCTTGGTGGGTGCAAGGCTCATGGTGATGAGGTTCTGGGAAGTAAGGTAGCAGAGAGGCTTATTGAGCTTAATCCTCAGCATTCAGGCCCCTTTTTGCAGTTATCTAGCATATATGCTGCTCATGGCGAGTGGGAGAACTCAGCCCAAGTTAGACAAATGATGAATGACAGAAGGATCAATAAGAATCCTGGTTACAGTTGGATTGACGGTTCACAGTAAACTTTGCTTGTGTGACAGTAGCAGATGGTAGGAAGCAAATTCATATGGCTGTTGTGCAAGAATCATCTCTCACTAGCTTACAGATTGACTGCTTAATCTGTCAAAAAGTATTCCAGAAAATGTTGCATGGTGCAGTTTTGGGATGTTAAGGGTCATCTAATATGCAGCAAAGTGTAGTCTTTCTAGGCTATATATATATATATATGTATAAAGCAGAATGGGGTGCATGAATTTCTTTCATTTCTTTGATGCACCATATGCCTTATTCGACTAGAAAGAAAGAAGGAAGACTGATTCACTCGCTTTCTTCTGATTTGCATCTGCTGCTTCTGAATTCACTGTGGTGGCTGAATCAACCCTTGGATCAGCCAGCAGGAGCAAGGGAACTCCCCAGGTTCTGGAAGATTTGAAGAGAGAGAGAGAGAGAGAGAGAGAGAGAGAGAGAGAGAGAAGT